CGCAGGGCTCGCATTTGTGGGCGTGTAGCATTGGGGTTTTTGCCTTGCCTTTTGCCCTGGGGTTTTATCATAGTCCCCCCACCAGGAGGTGGCGCCCTCTGGAAGCCGCTCGTTGAACCAGCCAATTTGCTTCGATTGCCCTTGGTCCCAAAAAAAAGTACTTTAGAACAGGCGAGAAAGAGGGAGAAGACAACTGTTTGCTCAGCTTAAAGACTTTCAATAATCACTAGTTTTGGCCTTAAACTGCCGCAATTTGTCAGCTTTGGCAATTTCTTTGCTCACACACACACACGCACACAGCGGCGACCAGTCACATTGAAAACCCCTGCCATTGCGACACTACCGTCGTCTCGCTCGCACTCACACGTAGACGGCTCGGTCCGAATTCGCTGCCATTTCACCGCTCTGCTCGTTCTGGACGCCTGGTGAAAAAGAGGGAATTCACTTTTGGCGGGGTTCTCGTTTTTCCAATTTTGTCCAATCGGCCTTTGTGGGCGCTGCTCTGTCGGAATTGCCGCTCCGCCCGTCCGACGAGTCCGGGCGGCGATTGCTGATAAGGCGGGCAAGTTGATAAGGCGTCGGCTTTTAGGGGAGTAGTTAGTAATTTGCGTTAAATGGGCAGCAAGCAGCAAAGGCACAGGCAGCAAATTAATTCACACGGTAGGCGTGGTTGCAGGCCTCCGCCCACATACAACAAATAGCACGTGCCTGCGATGCCATGCTTTCGGAACAGAAGTTCCAATTCCGATTGCGATTCACAACGAAATTCGACAACGGCGACAAGCGATTCGCTCCACGGCTGGGGAACGAAATCGCCCCACACACGCGATTTGGCAGGTGGGGACGTGCACCGGCCCGTGGTGGTGGCGGACTTTTTCAGACACGTTCGGTTTTCGGTTCGGTTTCCACCAGGCGATCAGGAAAAGCAGCTGGCATGCTGGCTCATCGCGCAAACCGGCCGTCGCTCGCTGCTAAACATTAGCTGCAAAGTACAATGGGGTGGTCTACGGTAAATATCGCTCGAAATTTAAAATGTATTTGGGTGTGTACAATGGGCTCGTCAGCACATAATAAATAGTTATTTTATTGATTTCCTTAATGTCTAGAACATTATAACGTACCCATGCGAGATTACAAAGTACTCTTTACATTGCTTTATTTGGTATTGCCGACCAATTTACCCTCACCTTAATTTAAAAGTGGACAACATACAATTTAACCGGGTTAAATTTACAATCGAATCGAATTCAGGTGAAACAAAATATATAACTTATAACCAATATATTTTTGTAATTTTCTGGTGATGGTTCAACTAATTGAACTTGCATATCTTGCTTTTTACCTTAGGAGTATATTTTTTAAATATTTAAATTGTGATTTAGTTTACTAAGCATATACATGAATATACAAATAATAGTTTCAAGTACATTAATTTAAATTTGTTTATACAATTTAGTTTATTTTGTTTCACTCAAGTTCATTCTGATGCTTCGAGAATCAACTGACCTTTACATTAACCTTTTTTGTGTAATCACACCACAAAGTTGTTAATGGTTAATGTATGTACATATGTATGTACAGATATTGAAGGGTAAAGGGTACACTTTTTGTACCCGGGGCTTTCAATGGGGGAACCACATATCCACCAAAATAAACCATTAAGTTTATGGAGCCAGATCTGGTTTTAATACCCTTTCCAAGATGGTGTTAATAATCTTACAAGAAAAAATTTAACATTAAAAATTTATTCATAACCACACAAATAATATGTATGTATCTCTAAAAATGTTTATATATATATCTTGATAGATCACATAAAAGGCCAACAACATTATTCTTATATTTTGATTTATTTTTATTTTTTAAATGGATGCTGGCCAGAAGTCGAGATATCAAATAAAATAAATAAAGCTGTGAGGGTATAAAAACGCCGGTTTCCTTACCCGATTTTTAATATACCTTCGGATTATTTGGGTGTTTGCGGTGCGGTCACACTGACCCAATCAGGTGAAAGCGACTTCGGAATTATCGCGCGACAGAGCGATAAGTTTAACGACTGATTAGTTAACTAGTGGCGATCGTCGAGGTGAAAGTTCACGCAGCTCCAAAATGTCAGCAAAGGCAGTTAAGTCAGGCAAACCCAGCGCCTCTAAGGAGCCGTCGACGGTCACCAAGCTCTACCTGTTCGCATACAACGCCGGACAGGTGGTCGGATGGAGCTACATCCTGTGGCAGCTGGTCAACTACTATCTGCTGCAGGGCCCCGAGTTCCGGGCAAAGGTTACGCTGTGGGAGTACACGCGCTTGGCTGTGATCATATTCCAGAACGCCGCCTTCGTGGAGATCCTAAATGCGTCCTTTGGCCTGGTAAAGTCCAATCCGGTGGTCACTGGCTTCCAGGTGTTCAGCCGAATGATGGTGGTTGTCGGCGTTGTGATGGCCACGCCCACTGGAAAGGTGTCGCCCGGTCTGCCCATCGCCCTGCTGGCCTGGGCCATCACCGAGATCATCCGGTATGGGTACTACGCCCTGAACATTGTCAAGGTGGTGCCCCATTTCGTTGTGTTCCTGCGGTACACCACCTTCATCGTCCTGTACCCCATTGGAGTGACCGGTGAGCTGCTGTGCTTCTGGTGGGCCCAGAGTTACGCCCGCGAGAACAGCGTGTGGAGCGTGGTGATGCCCAACAAGTGGAACGCCACCTTCTCCTACTTTGGATTCCTGTGGATTGTGATGCTGGGATACATCCCCATCTTCCCGCAGCTGTACCTGCACATGTTTGCCCAGCGCCGCAAGATCCTGGGTGGAGGAGCGAGCGAAGCACCCAAAAAGAAGGCCAACTGAACCTTGACCAGTGGCAAATGCAAATTATTGCATCATTTGCATATCTTTGGCCGTCGCACTTTGGAGTCGTTTTCGCTTTTTGGGGTCTCTCTTGACTCACCTCTTACACAAGCACATTCGTTCGGACTAAGCTTAGTTTTAAGTGGTTTTGTGTACAAATAAACCTAGATACTCTTCCAACTAATTTATTTTCCCTTCGCTTTCGAAGAGTGGGGTAACAGTAACGGCTTACATATTAGTATATTAGTGCTGCGACCACTGGATGGTCTTTAGGTCGATGCCCTCTTGGACCATCTCCCACAGCGGCGACATCTCGCGCAGCCTCTCCACATGTTTGATGCACTTGTCGGCGGTGTAGTCTACCTCCTCGATAGTGGTGAAGCGGCCAATTCCGAAGCGAATGGAGCTGTGGGCCAGATCCTCGTCTGTGCCGATGGCCCGCAGCACGTAGGAGGGTTCCAGAGAGGCGGAGGTACAGGCGGAGCCGCTGCTCAGGGCCACATCTTTAAGGGCCATCAGCAGGGACTCACCTTCCACATAAGCAAAGGACAAGTTCAGGCATCCATTGTATGTGGCTATGGCATCGCCATTCCTAATAACATGTGGCAAGGCACTCGAAATCCTGTCCAGCAGGCGATTGGAGAGGAAATCTACCCACTTCTTGTCGTAGTCCATCTCCTGGAGAGCCAGTTCCGCAGCAGCTCCCAATCCCACGGCCAGCGGGGCTGGAACTGTGCCGCTCCTCAAACCACGCTCTTGGCCGCCTCCACTTTGGATGGGCTCCAAACGAACCCTGGGCCTGCGACGCACGTAAAGGGCACCTACACCCTTTGGGCCGTAGATCTTGTGACCGGATATGGACATCAGGTCGATGTTCATGCTGTTCACGTCCAATGGGATCTTGCCAACAGCCTGGGCGGCATCCGTGTGGAAGAATACGCGGCGGGAGCGACATAATTTTCCGATTTCATCAATGGGCTGCTTGACGCCAATCTCGTTGTTCACCGTCATGATGGACACCAGTGATGTCTCCGGCGTGATGGTCTCCTCCAGCTGCTGGAGGTCGATAAGTCCGTTGGCCAGAACAGGCAGATAGGTGACTTTAAATCCCTCGTTCTCCAATGCCCGGCATGAGTCCAGGACGCACTTGTGCTCCGTCTGGGTTGTAATCACATGCCGCTTCTTGGTGCCGTAGAAGCGGGCCACCCCTTTAACGGATATATTGTTGGACTCCGTGGCGCCGGATGTGAAGATGATCTCCTTGGGATCGGCGCCAATCAGAGTGGCCACCTGCTCGCGCGCCTTCTCCACCGCCTGCTCCGTTTCCCAACCGTAGGCGTGGGTACGGGAGTGGGGGTTCCCGTAATAGTTCGTCAGGTATGGGAGCATGGCGTCTAGCACACGTGGGTCCATCGGCGTGGTGGCCTGGGCATCCAGGTACAAGGGTCGTCCCTCGGTCTGTTCGTTCTTGATGTTGAAGCGCACCTGCCTCTCCCGGAATTCTGCGGATATTTGGGATTTAGTAAGGATAATCGAACATATTGGAGGACTCGTTTACCTTTGGATGTGGCGGCCGGCTTTGTGGCTGTCTTGGAGGAGGTGGCCTCATGTCTGACCACGGTGACTACTGCATTTGTAGCGCGGGAGCGCAGGACCTGCGCCTGGAGTCGTCCCAGCACTTTCTGCATTGTGATGGAATCCAAGAAGTTCTTGTGTTTTTCGTTATGTTATCAAAGCGGATTTCACAATCAGTGGGACCGCGTTGGGAGGGACGCAAAATACCAAAGGACCCTCGAAAATATACCCAAAAATGTCATTATAAGTGGCTTTGTTTATGCGGGAAAATCTAATTTGAATTTTTTAATTTGTAGTGTACCAGAAAACATTTATCTTGTTTCTGTCAACAGTTCATGAATATAAGTTTATTCATTCTATTTTAGCATAATAATTAGTAATGTAAAATTTAAAAATATTAATTGATCGAAATAAATTTATCAAAAGGATTTTATTTGTCTATTAACTTTTCCGATTTAATGTAATTAGTTCTTGTTCTTTCATCTTATTTCACGTATTAAAGTTTTCATGCATAAACACAGTATATGCTTTGAAGATCAAAATATTGAATACCAAATTCTAGTATTTTAACGGCACCGGCATTTCGTATTTTTTTTTGAAGCCCAAAGCCAGATCAAAGCAAAAATTAATTTACCATTTTGTAGGAGATATATAGATCTAGAGAAATATGGTTGTGTGCCGATTCTTCCAACAAGGCTCCTGTCGCTATGGGACAAAATGCCACAACGAGCACTTCGATGTCAAGTGAGTGAATGGAGGTTAAACCATAAAGATGGAATCCCAATCTTACACACAATCACATACTTTTATTATAGGCAGTATCTTAAAGCCGACATGGAGTCCAGCCTCAATGGCAAGATGTGGCCTTTCTCGGCCTATGGGCCCTTCAAGGACAAGGCCAACTTTCCCAACTTTATCGAGGACCAATCCTTCGAGGAGGTCCGCTTTATGGGCTACGAGGCCAAGCGTCAGAATAGCTTTGAACAATTTCAGCAGCAGTTTAATCGCGAGGTTATGGAGGCGACCAACAAGATGAAGGCCATGTTGCAGATGTCGCCCCATGTTTTGGACATGATGATCAAGATCCACGAGACGCCGGAGGGCGGGAGCGTGTCTGATGCCCCGCAGCAGCCCAATAATCCCTTTGCTGCAGCTGCTCCGGCGGCCAACCCATCCGCCTCCATCTTTGGAAAGCCTGCTTTGGCTGCGGGTAATATTTTCGGCAATGCTGCTAACCAAGCAAACAACACCAACAGCATTTTCGGTGGAACCATGGCGAATTCAAATCCAGGGAACAGCATTTTTGGCGGAGGAGCAGTGGCAGGAGGAGCAACCAGTGTCTTTGGACAGCCTCAGCAGCAGCAACAGCCTGCAGCTCAAACCTTTCAAGGAGGCAACCTTTTCGCCCAGGCACAAGTCCAGGTGCAAGCTCAGCCCGGAAATCCCAATCCCTTCGGTGGCTTTCAACAGCAGCAACAAACTCAGGCGGCCGGAATTTTTGGCCAAGTTTCTAATCCCAATGTAGGAGGAATGTTTGGCCAGGCCGCTCAGCAGCAGCAGCAGCAACCCCCATCCGGGTTATTTGCGCAGGCAGCAGCAGTTGGATTCCCAAACCAACAACAACAGTTGCAGCAGCAACAGATGCAACAGCAACAAATGCAGCAACAACAGCAGCAGCAACAGCAACAACAGCAGCAGATGCAACAACAGCAACAATTGCAAATGCAGCAGCAACAACAGCAGCAAATGATGCAGCAACAACAGATGTTGCAGCAGCAGCAAGCTCAGTCGACCAACGAAGCCCAATCCTCGGTTTACAGTCGCATGGAAGATCTCAATGAACAGGAAATCGAAGCCTTCAAGTCAGATCAGTTTCTGCCAGGCGCTTTGCCCTACAAACCACCGCCAAGAGAACTTTGCTAAGCCAAAAACTCGCGTATAATGTAAATATTTCCTAGAGCTAATATTAAATAAGTACTTCAATAAACTAATGCATCATCATATTGAGTCGTTCCATATTGATGGAGTAAACGGCGTGTGAGCCGATCAGGTTGCGGTCCCGGAAGGCGAGCTGGCAGTCCTTAAGGGTGATCACTGTTCGCTCGCTGGGGAGGCTGTAAGAAAATTTTAAGAAATTGTTATTGTATGTTTTTAACCGGAAAACAGATGAGTTAGTAAAAGTAATCCTTATGACAGCTGTAAATCCGTGTTTAACCTTTCTTTAAACGAGAAAGTTATTAAGAAGACTTATCTTTTGAGCTGAGGATTTTGAAATATAGATAAATCATTTGACATGTGGACAAAAAACTCTGCTACAATTGATTGATATGTGAAAGACTGATTTTAAGCATGAACCGTATATGTTAAAGATGATATTGTTAATAGGGCAAAAGTATTAAAAAAACAAAAAATTTTGCATAAAATATTATCACACAACAATTGATCCTGTGAATGTTTCCTTGCTTGCCAATAAAAAAGACCCTTGTATAGGGACATTCATTGCCCTCTTACTGGTGATTAATAAACAATCCTTACACTTCTTCGCAGGCAGAGAGGAAGGTCACATCGTCGTTCTGACGCCGCATGAAGTTAGCCGTATTCAGCTCCTTGTCCAGCTCCAGGGGTGTATCATCCACCTTCTGGCGGGTGACCGTATTGCGCAGCGAAGGATCACGCAGCGGAGCACCCACATCGTAGTAAAAGTTTCCCTCGCCGCTGGTCTTGTAGTGCTTTCGTTTCTTAATAATGGCCGACAGCAGATCCTTGAGCAGAACCTGCACGGCCATGGCCACGTACTCGGCGACGTTGTCGTCCACGGAGACGAGTCCGATTTCCCAGGCGCCTATTAGAAAGCGGCCCATAATGAATCCCGCGTCGGGTAGGAAGAGTTCCTGGGCGCAGTAGCGCTGCGACGGGAGCTGCTGCTGCATGGGCTGCTGCTCCGAGGATCCGCCGATCGTGGGCGGAGGCCTGATCACCTGCATGTTGTCCTCGCCCACAAATTCCAGGACCTCACAGAGCTCGAAGTTCAGGCGTTCGGCGAAAGTGCGGGAGCTTCTCTTGCGACGCTTGCTGCGATTCCCGCTGCTGCTGGTTTGGACAGCCGGAGGATTCTCCACGGGAGCGAAGGCATCTATCTTGTTGAGCAGCGCCAGCAGAAATTGATTGTGCAGGTGCAATTTGTCCGGAGAGAGTATTTTCCGCGACTCCGCATCGAACTCCTCCTTGGACCAGCGGCTGCGAAACCAGTTCTTCATGTTGGCCCGGTAGCGCTCCCAATTGTCACCCAAAGCCACTACTAGCGCCTCCTTGGTGGCAATTACTCGGTCAGTAAGCATTTTATGCAAAATCAATCGCAGGTAAACAAGAAATTTGAGTTTTGCAATGATAACAAAATTTCGCAGCTGCTTAGAGTGACCATTTAGCGATGTGCATAAAATACCAATGACGGCTTAAAAAATAACCGAAATCAATGGTTTATCTTGTCTATAAACAAATTTATATATTATAACCACGAATTTTATTAATTAAGTGTTTAAATATATAATGTTTGGTCAAAATAAAAGTTTCTTATTTTTATATTAAGTAAATAAATAAAAATACTGTTAAAGAGATACAATTTTTAACGACATTTCTTTATCCATGTATAGATTGACAAAATACATTTGTAAATATATTTTTTTATTTAACGTATATAGATTAATATAGTTACGGCATATTTTGAAATATAAATATATACTCAATCAATATTTATGTATATTATATTGTATTGTAAAAAATGTTAGTAAGAATTCTTACACTTTGAGAATAAAATAAGAGTTAAATAAATTAAAAAGTTACAAAAAAATGGTTTAATAAACAATAGTTTATAAAAGTGTTAATAAATAATTAACCTATGGGTTTCATTTATAAAACTATGGATCTAACACACGTCAAATAAATAATATTTAAGCTTAAGATATTTATACAAACTACATATCTGAAAGGTATCACCACTCTGAAGGGAAAACTTTTCACTTATTTAATATACCCTTGTTGGGTATAGCTTAAAATAATCCATAAGTTACCTAATTGACGCGATCCCATCGCCACACGGTGCTGTCATCGCAGACGCAGACCAAAATAGAACCGTCTTTGGAGAAAGAAGTCTGCCGGATGGTGGAGTTGCTCTTGGGATGAACCAGTTGACTGCATTTGGTCAGATTGGGATCGTTACAGTCGAGTTCCCACACAAAGGTGGTGCCCTGCTGGTTGCCCAAGGCCAGAATCTTTTGCCAGGCGTTGAAGGCGAAGCGCACAAACCAGATCTCGCACATCTTGTAGTCGAAGTGGTGTAGCACTGTGGTGGCCGACTCCTGGGGTTTTATTTCGTGCCAAGGGGCTGAAAGTTTGCCCGGCTTCCAGCACACAATCGAGTTCTCGCAGGACTTCGAGAAGACGAAGTCCCCAAACCACTGAACGCAATCCACATAGTTGCGATGAATATCCCTCGTGGAGAAGTCCGGAAAGTGCTCCTTGATGGTAGGAAATGGAGCAGTGTTCTTGTTGGGGCTGAAGCCAGAGCTTAGCTCTATGGCCTCCTTTATATCCGGCTTGTCCAAGCGCCACAGCTTCAGAGAGTGATCCATCCCACTGGACATGATGCGATCCCCGCGCAAATCAAAGTCAACGGACAGCACTTCATCCCGATGACCTTCCACTCCACCGAACACAGCCACACAGACGTCCGACTGGATGTTCCAGAGCCGCAACGAGTGATCCTTGCTGCCGGACAGAAGTAACTGCGGCCTGACCGGATGAAACTTGAGCTCATTAATTGCGTGCCCGTGACCAATGTAGTTCTTGCTGCATTGATGCTTCACTGGATTAAAAATCCGGATGACACCGCGGTAACCAGCCGCAGCCAGGACAGGATCGCCTGTTTCTGAGTCGTAGGACCAAGCGCACGTGTAGAAGCTTTCATCGGTCTTGAAAAGAGGAAATATAAAGAAGTTATAAATACAATAGTTATAATTCATAATACATGTAGATAGAAAAAACATCTGAAAGTTGTACCAAAGAAAATATTTAAACTGCTACTATTTCCTTTAAAATAAATTAATATTGATGATAATATTAGCATGGTTGCTAATGCTTTTAGTTTAAAAACCTTAAGCTAGCTTTGTATAAATAAAATAAAATTACTGACATTTTAGGACACCTTGTTAGAAAAAGCTATGTTGTTATCTAAAAGATAATTTTAAAAAAATTTATGAAGGAATTGATGTATCCTTAATCAGATGTAAAAGAGACATAAGCTCTTATCATAGGATATAGAATCCGCTTTCTGAATGGATATGGTGTTAAATGCTTGAGTACCTACATCGGGATCCGCATAGACCTGCAGCAGTCGAATGCCTTCATTGGACTCCTCGCCGTTACTCCTTTCGCATTCGTAGATGGAAACTCGATCCTTGCCAACGGTGGCAAACACCTGCGCATGGCTTCTGTCCAGGAACGGATTGAACTGCACCCCAAAGATCTGGTGGTTGTGATCCTCGCGGACATGGGAACTGCAATTAATTCGGTTATTAATACATATATATATAGTACTTATTTAATTTCACCAAAGAAATCCCACCTGTACTTGTAAAGCGGTTGAACCATTTTTGGAGCCTTAACACGCCGGCATAAGCGGTTCAGTTTTCGTGTGTTGGGCGATTTGCTCCTAGTGGTGGTTGTCGTGGTGCTGAACAAGCTGGCAGAGTCATCCCGATCCACGGAATCGGCTTCGTGCTCATCCTCTTGTTCTAAACCATTGCCGGCATTTGAGGAACTATTGCTCAGAATTGCCAATGCCTCTGGTGGGGACTGGGCTCGGGAATCCTCCTCCGCGGAGGGCTCTTCTCTGGGGGAAACCCGCTCATCAGGATTGGTTTCTGTCATGTTTGATAGTTTTAAAGCTTCCTTTTGTTTACAAATTGTTTGTTCGCCAGTGTGGCCTTGCGAAAAGTGAACCATGTAAAACCAGCGTTGCCACTCTGAATATTAAAAGTAGCCAAACGACCCTGTTTTACTAACAAATCTAATGTATTTAAATCTAATTCACATAGTTATAAATTGCTTTATCTACTTCTTGGGGGTCGGATTTTTGGCGGCGATAAGCTCGTCCAGGTGCGCTTCCACTTCCTTGTGCGCCTTAACACTGTTTTCAGTGCGGGAAGTGGCCTCTTGGACAAAGAAATCCCGCAGGAGTTCCGCTTTTGTTTGAACAAGTTGCGCCTGCGCCTCCTGCAATTTCAGTTCGTTGGCCAATTGCGGACCCAATTTCAGTTCGGCGGTGTCGTTAAGAAGCGAGCACTTGCGCCCCAGAAGCGCCACCAGCTGCTCCAGACCGCTGCGATGCTCCTCCTCTAGCCGCAAGATTTCTTTCTGGTCGGCACTCAAATCCTCCCCCTGGTTAAAGGCATCCGGAAACTCCTCGCGCATCCTGTCACCCAGTTCTGCAATGGGTTGTAGAGTGGCCCGTAGTTGGGCGGATAGTTTGTTGCGCACCGTCTTGCGATCCGTATAGCTCAAGGGCGGATAACTGCTGGCATTCGGCAGACCTGTGGGATAAATTACATGAATAAACACTGTCTTAACGACGATTTTAAAGGCATCTACCCAGCACTTGCTCCTGACCACTGCCTTCATTCTCGCCTAATCGCACATAGTTCCCAATGGAAACCAATTTAAGCGTTCTTTTGATTTCCGCACTCTGATTTGGCCCCAAATCCAGGCGACGCAGCTCGTCCAGCACTAATTTCAACTTGAGCACCTTCTTCAGTTCGGTATTGCGCGCCTCCCGCAGATCTTCGGATTCGCCGGGCAAGAGAGTGGTGGATGGATCATCCATTTAATAGGAGAAATGCTTCAATTGTCCAGAAATGTATTGTTTAATTCGAATGGGCAAGCGCATGGCCGCGATACGGCAACGCCACTGAAACAAAGTGTGGTCAAGGACCAGTTTAGAGAAAATATTGAAAGGTGTATTTAAAAAATACTAAGTACTGAAATACTGGTCCCACTTAGAGCGATATTTAAAGCGCAGTACTTTCAAAAAAATAAAATTATAATAAAATGTTGAATACCGCATTATTTATGCAGCAGATCCGAGAGCATCCCATTGTGGCCACCATCAGCATTGCCGCCGGCACCATCCTGGCATCAGAGGTGATCTGGAAGGCGGTTAAGTTCTTTCATAGCCAACTTTCGGGAAAAAGGCCCCTCCGCGTGCACGAAGTGCTCTCCTTCAATGAGCTTGGCGACATCTGCGCAGCGCAGCATCTTCGGAAGAGCATGCCGGGTTCACCGGAATTGACGAAATCGCCGGAACCGATTGTGTTGCAGTGCCGAAACATGTACTGCTCCCTGAGGAATGTTGGCAAGATAGTGGAGCAGATCGATCGTGCGGTGTACTCCCTTGACGTAGCCATCTACACCTTCTCTTCTCTAATTCTGGCCGACGCCTTTAAGAGAGCTCTACAGCGTGGCGTGAGTGTCAGGATCATCAGCGACCGGGAGATGGTCTTCTCCTCCGGATCACAGATCAATGTCCTGGCCTGCCTTGGAGTGCCGGTGCGCATGCCTATCACCTCGAAAATGATGCACAACAAGTACTGTGTAATAGATGGAGTGGAGCGCGTGGAGGAGATCCGGCGGCTCAAACAGCGCAAGTGGATTCGTCCATACTGCAGCGTCGTGGTCAGCGGTTCCGTCAACTGGACACGGCAGGGATTCGGAGGCAACTGGGAGAACTGCATCCTCAGTGAGGACAAGGAATTGGCGCGAATGTTTCAGGCAGATTTCACGCGCATGTGGAAGGCCTTCGAGAAGTCCGAGAATAACTTAAAGCAGGAATAGTTAATCAAAAATTCTTTAAACTTTGATAGCGGCAGCTCATTTCCAAATGGGTGAAATTTCACTCCACCAAATTAACATTCGTTCCTTTCAGAACCATACAACTAAACAATTAATAATACTTCAATTTCCAGTTCCTACATTCTGCAGATGTCAAACATTCGTACAATAATTAGGCTTTACATTAAGAAATGCAAAGATTTCTACCAAAAATAGCACGCAATGAAATATGCAATAATTTTTCTTTCGATGAAGTATAATGTAAAAAGTTACCTAGATTTTATGTTAAACGCCTTATGATCCTATATACGTAAAGGCATTTGTTATTGTTAATTAAGTCAGTAACAGAAAGTTTTAAGCTACAAATGTTCAGACTATGATTATGATGACATGAATCAAAACGACTCTAAACTACTTGTCTTGTTGTTTCAATTTTTCCACACGACGCGAAAATGTCTCCTTTAAACTATTGAGTCTTTCGATTTCTGCACGAATCTCCTGATATTCCAGGTAGGACACTCCAGATCTCATTAATATTTCCTGTTTGAGAATAAGCACGCGGGCAACTTCCTTTTGCTTGCGATGCAGGGCCGTCAATTTAATCGAAGCGGACGAGTCCTTAGGAGCCTTTGACTTCTTGGCTTTCTTTGATTTCTTTGACTTCTGTGGGTTTTAATGGTAAAGTTTCGTTTTTAATATTGCTTAATCTACTTACTTTAGTTACTTCCATTGTTTACTCCAAGATTTCCGCGTGGTGTTTTGTTATTATCTGCGTTGTGAATGGCAAAAGTTGCAGATGAAGATCTGGTGCCTTGAATTTGGATTGTTATTTTAAGGGGTTGTTGCTTTATAAATTTTAGTTAAATTCAGTTTATTTTGGTTAAAACTTTGCCGAAGAAATAATGCGCTATATAATATTAATAGTTTTTTATTACTTGGCTCTTTTGGTACGCCCATCGTTGTGAATGGCAGCTTCGAATACAGTATTTTTTGTGTGTATAATGTAGTATTTTTTAATTAATTATTTAATTTCCGTTTGCGGTCACACTTGCGTCGTTTATTGCTTTTTTTTGTGAAAATTTCTCTTATTTAAAAAAAATGGGTTCCTCGTCGTCCGGAAAGAAGCACAAAAAGGACAAGAAGAACCGGCATAGGTCGCGATCGCCGGAGCGCCAGCGCCGAGCCACGGAGGACGAGGATTTGACCATGGATCTGACCGACGACTCATCGTCGCGTCACAGACACCACAAGCACAAGAAGCACAAGGAGCACCGCCACAAGCATCACAAGCAAAAGGAGCGCGAGCGTCCCAGCGAGGTCATCTCCCTGGAGGAGTCGGACTCGGATAGTAAGTGTTTTCCCGCTTTTCTCCAAGTGCAGGCCAGGTTCAAGGGCGATTGCTGTGGACGGCGGATCCGGCAGAAAAGCGATAATCTGATTGACGGACCGTCCATGCCCGGCAACCGCCTTGGTCCTGCACTTTTCTTTTAACGGACGTACTAAACCCATCGTTGCGTTTCTCCTCGTTTCTCCTTTTCTTGCAGGTGGTCCGCTCCTGGAGCATATTGTGAGTGGGCGAGCAGAAGTGGTTGAAGCGATTGTCCTTCTGGTGATTAGACAGTTCTAACCGGTGCTCCTTACTTACAGGTTCCGACTGCGTGGAGGTTCCGGTGCAGGAGCAGGGCAAAGTCAGGGATGCCAGGGAAGCCCCCGATCGCGAGCGGGATTCTGGACGCGAGCGTGATCTTCTAAGGGAAAGGGAGCGGGACCGGGAACGCGAGAGGGAACGCGATAGAGACCGTGAAAAGGAGCGCGAAAATCAGCGTGAAAGGGAGCGCGAGAAGGAGCGCCTCAAGGAGCGGGAGGAACGTGAAAGGGAGCGCGAGAAGGAGCGCGAAAAGGAACGCCTCAAGGAGCGCGAAAGGGAACGCCTAAAGGAGCGTGAGAGGGAACGGGAACGCGAACGCGAACGGGAGCTCACCGCTCCTCCACCTCCGCAAATCTCCAGGCATGCCGAATATGAATCCCGAAGAGAACGAGAAATCGAGAGGGAGCGGGAAGCCCGTAAGCGCTCGGGTAGAGAGCGGGAGCGGGAACGAAACCGTGAACGTTCCCGATCCCAGTCGCCTCCGTCGGCCACCCGTAAACCCGCCGCAAAGGAACGCGAGGCCTCATCACGTTCCTACTCGCCCATACCTGAAAACGGAGCCGGGGATGTCCTCTCCATTACGGAGACTAATAAACTTCGTGCCAAGCTGGGCCTCAAGCCACTCGAGATGGAAAGTGGTCCCAGCAAGGTGACGCCGACCGCCGGAAACGGTAGCCAGGCCGAGAGCAAGAAATCCTCTGGCGATGCCGATCTATCATCTTACAAAGATGAATGGGGCGAATTCCTGCACAAGCCGGCGGACAACCTAAAGGAGAAGAAGCAGGCAGAGAAGTTGCGCGAGAAGCTTAAGCAGCGCAAAGAAAAGCGGTTTTTGGAAGAGCGCCTTGCTCGCATTAAAACGCTGGGAGAGTCTGACGAGGAAACGGACAATGTATCCAAATGGGTGGACAAGAACAAGCGAGTGGTTAACGAACGCGAAGAGGCGAGGCGTAAGGTAATTACATTAATATCTTTTAATTATTTAATATAATATGCATTTCTTAATTTCAGGCCAAAGAGCTGGAGGAGCTGGATGAGGCCTTTGGCGTTTCAGAGCTGCTTGAGAAAGAGAAAACCAAAGCCCGTCAACGCGCCTATGGCGATAGCAACTTAAAGGGCCTGCGAGTGGATCACGACATGGATGATTTTGGCGAAGGACGCACCGTCATCCTAACACTCAAGGATCAAGATGTGCTAAACGAAGAGGAGGGCGATACTCTAGTCAATGTCAACATGCTCGACGAAGAGCGCTACAAGAAGAATGTGACCAACAAAAAGCTGAATCCGCTCAGTTATGGTTACAATGTGTACGAAGAGCAGTACGATGAGTTGGGCAATCCAATCGAGCGTTCTGTGTTGGAAAAGTACGATGATGACATCGAGGGTCAACCAAAAAAGCGCAAGAACTTTGTGATCGGGGAAAATATGGATGAAGAGAGGGAACACAGACGAAAGCTCCTTGAGATTAAAACCAAATTAGCCGGCAAACGCTTGGAAACCTTGGAGGATACCAATCTGCAGCTGGCATCGGACACGTACAGTACTGAAGAGTTGGCCAAGTAAATTTGAATGCTCTTTATTAAAACCCATTTAGTTTTTATTAATAATATACATTTTCTTGTAGATTCAAGAAGCCAAAGAAAAAGGTTAAGAAACTCCGCCAAAAACTAAAAGCAGACGATCTTGAGTCTTTAATGGAGCCAGGAACGTCAGCTTCCTCAAACTTTGGTAGTCGTGGTGGACGTTATCGTGATCACGAGGATGAGGTCATGGAGCTGGAGGCCGTTAAAACTGAAGTCAAGGTGGAAGCTGAGGATGATGATTTAGAAAGGGTTTTAGCAAAGGCTCGAAAACTAAAACAGAAGGAGAATATTATTAAGAAGTCATTACCCGTCGATTTCGAATGCATTCAGCGGGAGATCAAACCCGAACCCGTAGAGGAGAACAGTTCTGAAGTAGCCTCTACTGGTGTAGATGCCAACATCGTGTTAAATGCCACTGCTGAGTTTTGCCGTACATTGGGTGATATACCCACGTACGGGATGGCGGGCAACCGAAACGAGGACTCCAATGACATGTTGGACTTTGACAAGACCGATCAGCCAGAGGAGCACATGGACACGCAAGACGACGAGCCCGCCCTGAGTCATGGAACCTGGAATTCAGTCAATCCCGATGAAGTCATGCAGCCCGCCGACTTGGACAATCTGGGAGAGGATCTGGAGGATCGTGCCATTTTGGATGAGGAGCCTGATGTGGGCGCTGGTGTAGCGAATGCTTTGCGCCTGGCTCTGTCCAAGGGTTACCTCGAAAAGGAGGAAAAGAATAGGCCTAGCAACACGAAAATGGCCCATTTGCAGGCCAAGAACTACTCTATTGAAGACAAAGCTGCTGGGTAAGTTAAGAACTTCTCCTAAGAGAAAACCTTTTAATGGTATGTCTTGTCTTCGCAGTGAGGACGACAAGGTTGGACGTCGTGATCGGTTCCACTTTGGGCCAATTACGGACTTCAAGGACAAGGAGACCTTCAAGCCTAATGTCAAGCTGGACTATATTGACGACAATGGTCGCATATTGAACCTGAAAGAGGCTTTCCGGTATTTGTCGCATAAGTTCCACGGCAAGGGACCGGGAAAGAATAAGATTGAAAAGCGTCTGAAGAAAATGGAGCAGGATGGGGTGAGTTGCCCATTAAATAAATTGTTAAATTGTTTATTAATTGATAAATCCTTTCCTTGCAGTTAATGAAGACCATGAGCTCGACTGACACACCATTGGGCACTCTGACCATGTTGCAGCAAAAGCAAAAGGAGACCAAAACCGCTTACGTGGTGCTCAGTGGCAGCAACAAAAATGCGCCCGGTGTCAGCGGCTCCTCTATAGCCAAATTCAAGTAGAGAAGGCATCAAGAAATCGATTTAACTACCAAGATAACCAAGATACCATAACCAAATGCAATAGATACTTTCTAATCCGCGTACTAAATAATTAAGTTCAGAACTCTACCTATGCATCCGGCCCAAATATGTAATTCTCTTCATATTTATTCAAATACACTTTGGATTTATCTCAAGAAACTGATTTCGATGGGGGGATCCTCGTTCCTATGGGTAACTAAAAAAGAAAAAAAACAGGTAACTTACGAACGAATATGAAAGAAGCCCACAACTTACAGTTAAAGGATCTGCCAAGAAACGTCCTCCTCTGATCTTGAACCATCTGGAAACCCGGACCAAACCTGTCCCAACAGACAATTTCGCTGGATTGAAACCTGATGGTAAAGCTACACTTAGCATCTTCATATGGAATAGAATTGATATGGATCTCGTCTACGTTTGGGGGCGTTAAAGTTCGACGTATAATCATCGAAAACTGGTCACCAACCCTGCCAAAGTCCAGGCCGCCGTAACCGAAGATCAAGGTCTGCAGGAAGCCACCGATGCCGGTGAGGAAATTCGCCGATCCTTCGTAGCCGAGCGGGGTCTCACTCCACACCTTGAACTCGGGTCTAACATAGCTCTTGTAGCCACGCTCGAAATACTCGTTGGCCAGCTTATCCTGCCTGGAGACAAGATAATTGGCGGAGAACATGGACCAGGTCATCGCAGGACCCGATTCTCGGGTTGCATTTGCATAAAAGCGAAGATCATTTAAGTGTGTGGAGCTTAAAGGGAATTGGAATTACGTATTGGGATTATACCAACCATGAATTTGTATTATTACCTGATATCGAATCGTAACGGATACCCAAGTAGAATGGTGTCCGCCTGCTTCACAGTGGTGTTTAGGATATAACCCTGGTGCTGGGGATGGTAGTTAAGGACCTCATCCTGTAGAATCAGCAATCGGTCGCTAAGCTCACGCCATCTTTCAAAGAGTTCTGTGCTGGTGTTCCCACACATTGGACCCAACCACTCGGCAAAATCCAATGCAATTTTAGAAACAGCATTTGTGTACACATTATCATTTACGTCCGGGTGATCCTCATCGGGTCCCATTACCTTAAGGAAGTGGCACATATTTTGGGAATCGTCACACGATGCCCGACTCACCAGGAACTTGGCCACCTCTGCGGCTATGGGCCAAGCTGTATTACAGGCCCACTCCTTATCCAATGATTGGGAGTAGAACCTTTGGAGAGCAAAGGATATATCGGGGGATATGTGAATCTCCTGTTGCGCCACTTCGGGGCAGCAGGGATTGGTGACCTCAGTCCCAGTGTAGGCACTTTCCCAGGGAAACCTGAAGAGTATTAGGAGAAATACAATTTATATTTAACACAACTCCATTAAGAATCTCACCTGGCTCCCTTATAGCCAGTGGCATTGGCATGATATTTAGCTGCCTCTAATTTCCTGTGTCGGTAGTCCAACACCTGTTTTGCGTACTCCAAGCCGAATTGAGTGACCACCGGCAGCATCCAGATCTCGGTGTCCCAAAAGTTGTGCCCCTGATAATCCGCCTCCAGGTTGCCACGTCCCAAGCCAGTGGGACTCAATCCATAGAATGGTTCGTTTTTCTGATTGGTATTAATTGACGGTAGAGAACTAACCAAATAAAAGATGCCAGCGTTAACAATTTGGGAGAGCTCTAGAGCATCACCCTTCAGTTCAATGGAGAATTCGTTGTCCCAAAAGCTGTTCCACGATTCTGTGTGCTTCTGGAGAAGAGTTCTGGAGCTTAACTTGAGCACATCTTGGAGTTCCTTTCGGGCAACACTTTCGTCTCTATCCATGGTGATGATAATGCTATAGCTCAACTGCTCCTGCCAGGTGGGCCATTGCACTTGTAAGGGTTGCTCCAAGGATTGACTGAACAGGACAAAGATCTCCTGGGGATCCGTTTGAAATTTCTCAAACTCAAGAACCTTTGTGCGACCCCGAAGAGTGCGATAATCTCCGCTGGAAGAGCTGCCATTGCTCACAAGTACAAAATCAAAGGCATCGCTGGAGTTACCGGGATACTGAGTAAGCTTCAGGAACTTTGGAGCTAAAAAGTATAAATATGCAATGTAAGTAACTTTGCCCAAGACAAATAGAAAAAATCTAGGGTAAATTTAATTTAAAATTAAATTAAATATTCTTTATGTAACTTAATATAACACTTTGATTTTTTTTTTTAACCACATTAAAAATTTAAATCGATCGAGATCAATACAAACGAAGATATGGGCCCATATAGTCATTTATTTTGAACGCCTCATTAAAAAAATACATTTTTTTTAATCAGTGAACGCTTTTATCCAAAATCTGACAAACCGATTTCCAAAATGACAAGATGTCATAACTAATTTAAAGAATTAAAAAAAAACTAACCAAACGTGTTTCTAAGAAATTAAAATTGCTTTACAAAATAAATGTGGTCAAACCCGCAGTCTTTTCATAATCACATAAAGCTAAAAATTATCACATTTGATTTTTCATAAAATTTAATAATTTTTAAAATACAATATTAATATATGTTATAGGCAATATCCAATTCTTCTTTAAATAATAATACAACTTTAAGTTTACCCACCGTTAGCTCTCGTATTTCGGCTGTCAAGCCTGGTAACTACCACTTCATAGACCAAAGCACGATTGTAGAACTTGTGTGTATAGGTTCTCTGTTCCACTGTAAATCCTAGTTTTCTGTAGGTTGTTCGTTCGCGGAAGTAGCCATCTCGCAGATCCATCTCGTAGCTTGTTCCATTTACCTCCACATCCTCTCCAGAGGCACATCCGAACCGATCACAAACTTCCGAGCTGATGTTTAGCCAGTTGGGGATGCGAGCTCGTTTGCTATTACCTCCGGCTCCGTTGTAGACTCCGTTCATGAAGATAGCATCTCCGAAAACCGTATAGCCCAGATGGCCATTGCCCAGGGTGGGCATAAAATTCAAGTCCGGGGGAAGACTGTGAAATCGCATTTATTATTATTGTTATTGGGAGTAAAAAGCAATAATTTCGCTTACTTATATAAAAGTATAATTACAAAGAATAATATGTATGCGTGTAATGAAAACCTACATTGTTTTGATATCAAGAGCTTACAAAACTGATTTCCCTAGACATTTTACGTGTTGTAAAATATATAATTAAAATCCTACCTGTGAGATTTTAAAAGATATGTTTCTGGCGTTTCAGCGAAGCAGCCCTTAAGAAGCGCTATATTTACGATGAACCAAATACTTTTCAGCATATTTTCGCGATCTACTATGTGGCAAGGTCCAAACTATACTAATTTCGTTTCTCACTTCAGACAATTGCAAGTCTCTTGAATTTGATTAGAAAGCTGATAATGAGATTTAATCTCTGCGGGGAGCAATGAAGCGCATTAGTTGAACGCTTTTCTTAGTACCTCGGTGATTTCCCTAGCTCTTAAGTGCCTTCTTATCAGTTCACATTTTGCTATAGAACTTTACTCTAATATGTGGTTAATTAATTGTTACAAAAAGAGATTACAGTATCTTATCGATTAGTTTCTAGGCCCCGAAACACTTTCTCCTTAATATTATTTGTTGTGTCTTATTGAGACAACCCCTTTCTAATCTACCAGTTACTTCTATATTAAAACAATTTTTAGCTTAAATATATTTAAATTATGATTGTTTATTCCCAATTTGTTTTGGCTATCGTAACTTTTCTGCTTTATTATTTAATAGTATTGTAAACCCATAAATTTGGATTTTAACAATATCTTCTTTTTGTTGATTAACTCATTTTGTACAGCTGCTCGTAAAACCTGGCAAAAACATTGACCAAAGGAAAGGGAAGTCTTTCGGCATTGAGCTCAGTTTTTCTACATCAATGCCGATAATATTGTCCCATGTCCAAAGGCAATTGGCATTCTTCCCAAGCACTTGAAAACAATAAAAAAGTAAAACACGAGGAGAGAACTACACACAAGTGGCTGAGTTTTTATTGCATCGCACTAAGAGATCTGAATGGGCAGACAAGAAATCGACTTGGATGGGCCAAGATTATCAAGACGGAGATTAGACGTGACCCAAAGAGAAGATGCGAGTGCTGAATGGAGGCACAATCATGGGAAATCTTCTAATGTACGAGAAAAACTCGAAATAAAATAAGAATAAAAGTCATTAAAGATTGACTACTGTCAGGTGGCGAAGGCCTGATCTCTGTGGCTGGGTGGCCCTAGACTACATTCTTTTCACTATTTTTTCAGTTTTTTAATGATATTTTCATAATTCCTAGTTACAAGGTAATTATGGTCTTTGTTGTCGACTCTAATTACCTGGGAGTCAACGTCTGCCCTTTCCCACATCGGATGTTGGCCGTACTTCATACTGAGCTTTACATCTGGCCGGATCGGAACGTATCCGAAATATCCAACGCCATCTTAGTATCTGACAACCAAGCGTAACCAGGCAAAGAACCGACTAGCTATAACCGATATGCGTTCGTGACTGGAACCCCATTTGACGGCTCTGTTACCCCAATGTATACATCTGTATCGGTACACTCGAATTGCATTTTTATTTGATCTAAGTTCATTCAATCATAGGTACATTTAAGTCATACAATTTTTAAAAATATTATCTAAGTAATAGTTTTTGAAGAGACTTTAATAATTACTTATTTCCAATCTTTAAAAAAACCAATTCATGTCAATCACAAAATTTGGTATATTTCTAATTTATTGAAATTGATGATAAAATTATTTTCAAAAGTTTAGAATAGGAACAAATAGTACTAACTGCTATGACATCAAATACATATAATCTAGATGTTGGGATTCTGAATATATATTCAAAATGTAATTTAATGTTGTCTAATAAGGGATGATCGTCATTTGGTTTGGCACTTTACAAATTTAAAGTATTTGTAGTTCATACAAAGTAAATAATTTATACTTGGTTTAATTTCAGGACCGTCTACTTCATCTTTACGCAGTTTCTCGTGCATTGGCTTAAATTTGATATTTCTGTCTGGCTTTTCACTTTTTATAACACACACACCGTAATTCCACATTACGAATACTTCGAAATTGCCATTGTTTTACAATTTAAAAAGAAAATATATTAAAGTCTGTATGACTTTTTGTAAACCCTAGTCTAACATAGTTTGCTGGCATTATAATTTTATAATAGTTTTTAAGAGTGTATCTTTATCTGAATCTTACCGGGCTATAGTTCTCTCTCCGGTGCTCCGAAGTTCGGTTCAGCTGAGCTCGGCACTAATTTTAATGGCGTTACGCCGCGATAGGTTTTCTGCTCAAGATCCATAAAGAAATGCTCAGGTGTTCGGTCCCCAGTTGGAGTGTTCGGGTTGGTGAGTCTTCTACGGCTGTGGTTTGGGTTGGCACGAGATCTCCATCGACGAGTATGTGGGGCTCCTCCGTGATTTACCCTTTTCCAGCGCATCATCCCCCGCCACATATGGTGTGTGTGTGCTATGTGGTGCTTTAAAAGAAGTCAAAGTCGGGGCTCTATCGCGATGTTCTCGCTTGCCGAAGCGTAACTGAAATATTAAAAACAATTTTTCCGTTTTTTTGTCTTGTTGTTGTTTTGGCTTTTGTTATTGGTATTGTCGGCCATTTTGCTGGCGGTTTTGGTTTGGTTTGGCGTCAGATTTTGTTTTCTTTCGTGTTTTATTTGACGTGTTTTTCGTTGTTTTTTTTCGCCAACCTGTTGGCCGAAAAGTCGCGTCGAGAAATTTACGCAACGAAGCGTTACCAATGAGTTTCCGCTTTTGGAGGCATTGGGCTTAGTTGTTGCCACCCGATGTTTGTAATGCCATGCGATGCCCAGAAGTTGCAAAAACAAAATATAAATGTAGTTAAACCGAGCCGATTTGGTGGGGACTTTACGTTTTAAAGGGCCCAACTTAAAGATAAAATAACTTACTTCATTATTTATGAACTTAAAGTTGTATTTGGGGGTCACACTAAAAACTGTTTCAATCAAATACATAATAATTTCAGTCGGATTTGGTTAAAAGAGATTTCTATGACCATGGGATGTCATAACTTTAATAACATTCAAAATAATGATTCTATTGAATTATTTTGCATTAGTTTAAAATGAGTTAAATATAAAATCGAAAAAAAAAGGAATTATCGGTAAACTTTCGACTTTATTCTGAGGAAAGTATGTTTAGGTATAAAGTGAAATCAAAAGTGACAGCATATAAAAAGTACAAAATTATATATTGGAATGTATAAAAAATTATGAAATTATGTTGAAAATCAGTTCAAGTATTTTATATTTTCGGAATAATAGCAAGGCCAGCTATCCAGTTCATTCTTCACACTACTTTCTAATCGAAACGAAATTACGAAATAATTTTGAACTTTTAAAAAGTTTTTTCCTCAACCCTCGGTACCCGCTGTGGCTTAAACCATTGCTCGCGTTTTAAAGTTTTTTGGGCCTAGTGTTTTTCTGCCTAATTTGTGAACCGAAAATGAAACGCGTGTGAAAATCATGTTTATTGTGCGGCCACCCAGCCATTGTTACATACAATGTGCCAAGAGGAGGGACACATTAATACAGGCAGCCAGCAATCATTTGCTTTCCCCTGGCACGGCTTGGCTTTATTTTTTGGTTTTTGGTCCCAAGTTTTGGGTGTTTTCCAACTGTGAGTCGGGAGCCGCCTAATTGTTGTAATTTGCCTAGATATTATATTTATTGTTCGCCAGATAATTATGATGATTATCTATGAAACGGAGTGTTTAAAACGTTTTCCGCTGGCCTGGGAACCAAAGGCCGAAAAGAGCTGAGAGCCAACCCCACCGAGCATTTGCAACTCAATTATGGGCGAGCAGCGGCTTCTGGCTCATCTTCACCAGCTGCGGCTGCTTCATTATGCACCTGACCACTCGTGCAATTTCTAGCTGATAATTTGCATTATTTTGTGCGCCCAGGTGGCTGCAGTCGGAGCAGCAACATCCATGGCTACGGCTTCTGCCTTATTCATGGATGATCTCACGCGTTGAGCACTCGCTTTAATTACACTGCACAGAAGGAATATTTTTAATTTCCAATTTAAAATCCTGTAACCCTAAAAAGCATAAAACGCTGTATTTTGTGACTGTAATTTTGTTAAACTAAAAATAAGCTCAACAACAATTAATTATAATAATTACACCTTAAGGCTCATCGTCAGCATCGCTAACCACAATATGTCAAACAGACTATGTTCAATTCTAGATCTCGGCATCTATCTATTCAGACAACTTCTGCATTTTAAACACTGGCCTAGCTCGATTCAGTTCCCAAAAACCCCAATATTTTTTAGAAACTATGGTTTCAAATATATCAACAACAAAAAAATATGGTTTTTGTAGGTACAGAAGGGGACTTAAATCTATATTTAGATGTATATTTAGAATAGGCACATTTTTAATGTACATATTACATATAGTACAAATTATATAAATTTCTGTTAGATTACAATTTTGTTTCTAACTTACTAATAGCATAAAATTTAATAAGTTTCAAAATCTCTGAAGAGCTGTCAGGTTAAAGATAGTTGTCTTATACGACGGTGATCAACTTAAAGTGCTGACTTTCTAAAATATAAAAATTGTATGCTGTAAAAATACATTCACAACAAAATCAAAACATTGCTTCAAAGTCATGGAGCTGTTATAGTAATATGGTAATTAAATATTCCTTTTCGAATTGAACAACATTTTGGTAATTTAAAGAAATTTCAGGGATTTACAATTTGAAGTTTTTATTTGAGAAAGGTTTGGTTTAATAAAAACAATTTTAAATAAAATGTTGCTGTATCTTTCAATATTTTGCAGCTTGGTGTTGCGTTTTTCGCTGACTGTGCCCGCCATGTGCAGTGTCTGTGACCTTTTCGCGGCTGCACTCCAATTCAATTACCAGCAGCAATGGAAAACAGAGAGAGAGACAGGTGGAGAAATGGTGAAAGAGAGGGGACCATGGTGTGCAAAGATAATTATCAGCATGAGGCGCAGGTTTCGGGGATTGATATGTAAATTTTAATTTGCTTCATTTGTAATGCGTAAGTCAACCACCAAAAAAAAGGAAAAATAAAAGGAGAAGAGCTGCAAATGCAACTGGGTGCGACATGTGGAAACGCTTGGCTGGCTGCCTAATTAAGGCAGGTCAGGAGTCGCGGGATCGTGGGAAAGGTCTCTCGGTATCGGTGTCCCGGGCTCCTGGAGGACTCCTCACCAAACAACATGGCGTATGCGCTATGCCTTTGAGGCTGGGGCTGTGGACTTTCATCCGAGTACGGCCCACCTTCCCAATTTCCTCCCAAGGGGTTGGTTAAACATTTGCTGTAATTTTACAGCTGCTGGTTGAGTTAATGCTTAGACAACCGCCAAGCGTAACCGCAGGCCAAAAGTATCTGCAGAATATATCTTGGCTCGCGCGCTCACTCGCCGTGATTAGGGTTTTGTAGAAAAAGCAGATTTCAATTATTACACCTGTTGTTGCTCGGTCACCGAAACCCCTCCAAAGATTTCCAACTTCTTGGCTTATATCTCTGCCCGCTTTTTACATTTTCATAAGTTACCTGGAGCGTGCTTCCTGCTACGCAAATGTATACTAAGAAAAATTTAACTAAAATTGAGAAAAACCTTATAGAGAAATGTATTTTAAACTTAATTTTAAACATATTTAAGTATAAAATAATATTAATGATTAATTTTCAAACTATTTGTATAATTTTCTGTCTAAATATTTAGGAAAAACGACCAACGATCGATTTCTCAATGTCATGCTAAAGTTTAAGCTTGTGGTAGAAAGTAAATGTTAAATGTCCTGTTGTTCGGAAACACAAATTCGATCTCTCAATGTGATGTTCAATTTTCAAATGACAAATTTTAACAGTATGTGTTATTACAAAAACCGTTAAGAATTGAATATTGACTAGAACATTCCCTTTATTTAAGAGTTTCCAGTCAAATAAATTCTAGCATTTTAAAATTTTATAAGATTAATTTAAATCAATGTCGAGACTTACTTCCAAGGTTTTTGCAAATATTTTGGCGGGATGGTTTTATTTTAAGTGTACTATCTATCAGCGCTTTTCTGTGGCCTTTTGTGGATGGAGTGCCGATAGAGTGAGAGGAACTCCCCTAGATGGCCCAGCGATAGTCCATTCAGCTGGCCAGCAGCATCCATTGATGAGGATCTGCTGGGGCCATCGGTTCATAAATATTTCTCGCTTCTTTCTCAGGTAATCACAGGCTCTCGAGTTACCAGTCGCCATTTAAGGTGTGATCGGGCTAGAATGGAACATGAATCGACATCTACTTCGACCGCGACTCCGACTTCAACTTCAACCGGTAGCCCAGGTCCCTCGATTGGCCTCAACCTCAACACGTTTACGCATCACTGCCGCTTCTGCCAGACGGACTTTG